CCACATTGGCCCTGGAACGGAACGGTCCGTCTGTTGCCGCTCCGTGATGTGGGACGGCCACAGCCGGACGGCGATGCCACCAACGACGGATGTTGTTTGACTACAAGGTGTTCTGAGATGACAGGCATTGCAGCTATGACAGGCACATGAGGCTTCAAGAGATGGCACACTGTTACTATTTGTGTTCCGTTTGAGGCTAAACAAGACTTCTTAAGTCACTTTGAGGTGTTCATGATCAACGTTATTGGGAGAAAGGCCGTGTCGATGTCGTTTTTACCAGCGCTCTGTCCAAATATCCATTCGTTTATACCACTTTGAGTTGAGGAACATTAAACAACAACCATGATGCACACGACCATTGGCGGCCGATCAGAACAATATGCACGATGTAGATAAAGTGAGTTATGATGACACATCGGTGTTTCCTGAAAGCTTGCGTAACTGTCAGTGTTTCTAAACACAATTTGACTTCTGGTGAGGCTTCAGAATTCGTTCCTACCAAGAGCATGGTGCAACCATGGCCTTAAGGTGTTTTCATTATAACGCATCCTGTTCTTCGCATCACAGAAACGTGATATACACTATGTGCAAAGGAATTAAAATTGAGAATTTGTGTTAAGAATGCTCGCATGTTTCAACTAATATTTGGATCCAGCAAATATTTCGATACATGGTTCAGCATTTGAGCGTTGTGAAATAGTCTGGCACCAATATTTGGAAATAAGCACATAACCCACCAATCGACAAACGTTTATGCTGTCGTCAGAACAAGCAGTGGAAGTGGCATTAATCGTTGGGGAACACTGTAATGCTGTACTGAAATAAACACTTAAATATTCACAAAGCACGCTCAAAACTAGGCTTGGGACTTCGTTACATTTTATTCGGCGACCCCGTGGTCGAGAGGTAGAATCAAGTTTGTTGTCCATTGCTCCTAGACGGATTGAACTGCGCTACAATGCCATCACCACTAGGCTCCCAGAGGCTCTCTGCCAGAAACAACACTACCGAAATACTGTAGTGTAAACATCGGACGCCTGGTAAAGGAGACCTGCCACGCCATTCAAATGGAAAGTCTGGAACGTGATACCAGTGGTATTCAAAAATGTGTTCAACGGGTACAAGTGCCTTTAGCTGCATAATTTTTACATTAGATTGCATCGCATACGTAACACGGCTTTGCGCGTTGCGTCTCAACGTGAACACTTTGTATGTTGATCATTTTAAGCGATCTCCATCCGTAAACTGACATGCCCTGCAATCCACAAAGTGATTCGCAAAAATAAATCCCGACCACCGTATTTTTTTCAAATGCGAATTTGAAAATGTGTGTAAAATAAAAAAGTGAAGCATGATTTTCAAATTCTCCTCTCCGACGTTCCGGCTACAAATGGATACTCGGCTTACATATGGTAGGGCGACAGCAACATCCTATCGTGTGGTACCAAACACATCTGTGACATCACATATGTCTAGTTCCTGCAGCGTATTCACTCTGTGAGGCAGCGCGGAACGCAGCGGACGCTTTTCACGGGTGGTAAGCTTCTGCTGAGACCGCTTGCGGGCTTAAAATTGCATACGCGTGAACCTTGTACCTAGTGAAACGATATGGCCAGGACCCAAGCCTCATATCAGCCGTTTAAATTTCCACATATCCGACTTATGCTTGACTCTACATGGAGTCGGACTCGACTCGGCAATCAGCGAAATTGTGGCCGAGTCAAGGATTAATCGATTTCTGCAAAGACTTTCTCTGAGTCGGTGTCGGAGCTGCATTTGCTGTATTGGCTGGGGTCATTGATGTGCCGTTTCGGATAAAACTGTGCAAATAACACATATTCTTATTATGAGGGATGATATGCGTACATGAAATATTGCACTGAGTGTTTCACTATCTTATTAGACAGTTAGCAGGCAATAATGCTTAATTGTGTTCTTGGTAGTACATGAGACGGTTCATATTCTAAACTGCCGTCAACAAAATCGAGTCAATCAAAATTAACTTCTGAATTAACATAGATATTCCTGAGCGAGTCATAGCCAGAATCGTCTCTAGCTTGTGTCATGCTGCTCTTAATCAGAGCTGGAATAGACAGTGGGCTATCAATTGAATTAGCATTAAATCTGGGGAAGCAAAATCAAGCTCAGCTAGGAAGCCACCGAGATAAGCATTGGAGGAGAAGGTTTTGCAAAAGAGAGAAAAGCTCCACCTATGGGCAGATCATGTAACACGTCTTCTGAAAAGGCTGGAAGTACAACATCCACGAAAACTCGATCAGCTTAAGAAAGGCTCCTACGGTGAAACCATCTCACCCTAGATCACAACATTAACTGTTTCCAGTGCAACCATTCAACGCAAGCACGTTATTGAAAAAGTAGGCTATCAACGAGTTTCCATATTCGATTTTACTTCGAACAAACTCAATATTCCTACTCCTGAACCAGCTTTTATCCATAACAGGTGTCAAACACATGAAGAACCGCTATACTTATGCCTTGGTTTCCACCGAAGCGCGAGGGACTGACATACGGCCCCTGAAGATATATCACCAGCGTCTCTTCACCGCTCATTGCTGCTGTGCTAAGACAACAACTTTACGAACTATCACAGCGTGAACAGAAAACTCCTGAAAAGCGAAACATGCCGAGCGATACTGGAAAATGTTTCTTGATTTCGACGTATCTAGCTCAGAAATGATGTTTAGGGTAGGCCAGTCACTTCAGCTGCTGGTCTCGCCACAGCAGCGCGTACGGCGAGACCAGCGCATCGGACGTCTCGCGAGAGCGCCGCCGCAGCCGCGGGGGATGAGCACCCTCCACCAGATCTGACGGGGACCGGCGACGGCACGGCCGCCAGTTTGGCCCGCTGACCACGTCACCCACAAGTGGCGCCGAAAGTGCCGCGTCACGAACACGAGTGGCCGACGGCCGGGCTCGAGCAGGCGCATGTGTGTGCGTGTTTGCGCCGGGGAACGGAACTGCCAGAGGCCGCGGCCTGCGCCGACGCGGCTCCGGCCGCTACCTGGGGGAGGGCGCCGAGGGACGGCGCCACCGGGCCCCGGCTGTCCCCGGCCCCCGAGAGAGGGTGCCAACGGACCCTGGCCGTCTCCGGTGCTCAGGAGAGGGCGCCGAGGGACGGCGCCACCGAACCCTGGCCCTCCCAGGTCCCCGAGAGAGGGCGCCAACGAACCCTGGCCAGACGAGGTGGACGCGAACTCGCGTGTCAACAGTGCCACTATATAACGAGGAGGGCGGCTGAGTGGCAGGTGATTACTTAAACAGCGTTTTACTGCCGGCACGGCGCGGGTGCGCACGGGCCCCTGGCGCACGCCTCGGCAGACGGACGGCCGCCGCTGCCGTAGAGAACGTCGCAGACCGCGGCTAACCGGCCTGTTGGACGGCGCGGTTCGCGGACCGGCCGGCCGACCAGCGGCCACTTCCAGTCGACGGAGCATCGGCTAGGCGCTAATGAGAAATGAAATAAGCCGCGACAGGCGATCCCTGCCGGAAAAACGCGACCACTCGGACCTGAGGCAAAAAGCGCCAGAAATGCCAGGAGATTCATCTGCACAACCGGTCGGAGCACGGCCGGCTGCTCCCAGAGGCGGCCCTCGAGGCTTGGTGCGATAATCGGCTGACCGGAGCGATAGGATGGCTCCCTGCTGAGACACGCGCCCGCCGTCGCTGGCCGCTGACGGGGCGGCTCGTGAAATTCCGCGGACGATTGGCGCATGCTCCCCCACACCATTCCCTCCCTAACAGGCCATTTTTGAACGTAAATTCGCCGGAACCAAGTTGCCAAAATTGAATCGCGCGATGGATTGCGGCTATTGACGGCTGGAAACTTGCACCCGAACCCTTTCCAATAAAGCTGCGACGCCGACGCGGACAAGACGCGTGGCCGGTGTCGGTCGGCAGGGAAAGCGGCGCAGCTGGGCCAAATCCGCCGCGACCGTCGCGCGCGCCGCCGAGGGGAGCAAGCAGAAAAGGTGAGCGATCGTGTTTCCCCGGACCACTCTGTTGCCATGGCGACGGCACACCTGCCATCTCGGGGCGCGGCTTGATTTCAACGGCTACGTGCGCGACAAACGGCCAGGCGTCGGCGACAAAGACGCGAGCGGCGCGGCGGCGGCGGACGGCTCGGCTCCGGTGTCGCCGCCGCGCCGGAGACGCCGCGGACGGCCGCGCGACGCGCCGGCAGCTGCGGTCGCAGCCGGCCTGCGAAGAGCGGGGCCCGGACCAGCACCGGCTCACACCAGAACACTGGTCACACGCGCTCCCACGGGCCGCGCAAACCCGACGCGTCGATTCGCCGCGGCTGACAGTCGTGATTTACCCCTTCCGCGCCACATCTGTATCGTTTCTGAGTCACGGCACATAAATTACGCGCCAATTGTTGACCACACTTTGTTGGCAGCGACGCCGCGGTAAAAACGCCCGCTGCTGGTACACGAGCTCCGTGCGCCGCACCTCGCCACAAAGAGAGGCGATAAGAATGAAATAAATGGATATCCAGAGAAAGAGAAGAATGCGCGGGTCTTCGGCGAAGAGAAATGACTGCCTGACGGACGGAGCGTGCCGCCGCTTCTCTTTCTTCGCAGCGAGCGCCGCCCGCAAGCCCGGAGTTCTCTGCGGCTGCCCATCCCTCTGCTCCCGTGTTCGCTCTGCCCAGCTGCCTGCTGCCGTCTGCAGCGGCGGGCTCCCTTCTCCTGCGCGCAGTCATATGTGCCAGTCGGTAGGGGCCCGCTCCGTTCCCATCACAGCCCCAGATTAGACGCCAGATACGGTCAGATTGGCCCGGCCGCATGTTTCACCCGGTGATTCAGCCATATTTCTGCTGTTCCGCTACTCTTCGATGCCCCAGCCTGCCGTTTTTATGCCCACTTGGGTTAACACTTGAACGGCGCAGATCAGTTTCGGGGTATTTCTAGGCCGCTTCCGACCGGACATTTCGCGTTTCCCCTTTGTTCCGACTCGCCGATATGAGTCAAACTTTGAAACTATGGCAAACGGGATTTATTTTACACATGGTCTCGATGCCTGAACACGCGAACAGACATGACATCAACAAGAGCGTAGATGAAAAGGACCCACGCTCCTCATGGCGCGGCAATACACATAACAAAAAACAAATAATTGCAACACTGTAGTCGTTATCGTCCACATGGTATATCCATATTAAGCATGACTATAGCGACTGATCGTTAATAAAACATTACTGTCACCTAGCATTTTGATTGGTTAATGCATGAAGTGCACGTTGAAATGTTACGAAAAGTTATTTTTACAACGGAATGTATGCGTATGGAAAATATATACCACCCTTGTACTCTATCAATGTTGAGCATATAAAATGTGAAGCGGACATTGCCGAGAATCTACTTTTCTAACCAGAAGACAAAACAGCCTATAAATACCAATTATGGTAAGAACAGCTTTACCAAGAAACAATTTGGCACTCATGTCTCGTTCACCGGAACGCTCCCGTGCGACGGCATACAGAAAATGCAGGAAACATTTGTGGAAGGAAGCATCAGTGGCTGAGTGTAAAGCGATCAACAGAGGTACACAGTGCATCCTCTGAACTCAATAATGCCACATGCACGAAAACAAAACGAAATGACGCTGAACTATGCTTTAAATAACGGACAAATGGCGTAATTTTTCGTGCACACATGCTTATGCTCAGCTTTCTTGGAAATTAACTCTATAATATTGAGGCGACGGCAGCTAGTGTTGCAGAACAATTTTGGTTTGGCTCGATAGACGGCGTCACATTTCTGACGTCACCGGAGAATGACACGCACTTTGGTGACGTCATTGTGGCGCTCGCGGTAGCACCGGCGCGGCCACGGCCCTCGCTGTGGCTACACAATTTGGCAAGCCCCAACGCGTATGGCTAGGCAAGTCCTACCGGGCAGTCTATCAGTTTAAGCTATGTTCTACGAAACAGGCCAGCTGCTGCGGCTGGGTGACGGCGACGCGGGTGATGCGGGTGACGGAGCCGGGTCAGAAGAGCGGTCAGAACTCTGCACGCGGGCCGGCCGACCCGGCCGACGCCCGCCGGCCGACCGGCACAGCGCCGCGCCACCCACGTAAGTACACAAAATGTAAATATTAGAGGTATTCCTTATGAGATTCCCTCGCGCTTTTGCCGTCTCTATCACAAAGCAGTCTGGCCGGCGGCTGACTGGACTGGGTGTGGTCGGCGGACGGCGCGCGCGGCGGCCGCGTCGCGCCACGCCGCGCTGCCCAGCTAACAACGAATAAGCTCCACAACTCAGGGGATGGCGACCCGAACACGACACACGAGGAGATAAATCTGCCGGGCCTCAGCGGCCGAGGTGGTGGGCTTTTTATGGCGCGGCCTTGGGCGGCCGCCGGGCCGGGAACCCCGGCCCGGACCGGCGGCCGGCCGCGCGACAGGACAGAGTAAGAGCAATTCCGTGCTACCTGCTTACCGAGCTCCCTGGCAGGCGTCGCTCGCCGGCGTTCAGCGCGCGTTTTGATGCACCGCACTGCCGCTGGCCGCCCACCGGTCGCGCGCGCGCGCACACACACAGCGGTGGCGACATTCACAGGACTATACAGAGTCTATGTACACTGCGGGCGCGCGCTGACTTAGTGTTCGTGTCCGGTGCAGTATAGTCTTTGTATGGCTCTATGATCACTGGGTGGCGTGGGAGGCGTCTCTGTCGCCGGCGGCAGGCCCAGTCAGTGCGCCGCCAGCCCTTGCGAGTGCGGCGGCAGCGACGCCGCCTGCTGTGGCGACATCATCGACGGGCTATGGCTCTGGGCTAGGTGGGCCGGCGGCGAGCCCTGCATCGAGTCCAACCGTCGCTGGTGGTGGTAGTGGGGCTGGCCGAGCGGCTGCTGGCCGTGCGGCGGCGGCGGCGGCGGCGGCGGCGGCGGCTGGCTGCCGCCGTGCGGCTGCTGCTGCTGTTGTTGGTGCTGCTGCTGCTGTTGCTGCTGCTGTTGCTGCTGCTGCTGCTGCTGCTGCATGTGCTGCAGCTCCGACTGGGAGACGTAGGACTGCGGCGAGCTGGTGTCGCCGTTCTCGTAGTTTGCGCCCACCACGGGCGGCGTCATGCGCTTCTCCTTTTGGCGGCGGTTGCAGAACCAGACGCGCACCACCTCCTTCTCCAGTTGCAGCGAGTCGGCCAACCCGGTGATTTCGGGCGCTGCCGGCTTCGGCTGCTTCAGGAAGTGCTGCTCCAGCAGCGACTTGACCGACACCTCGATGCTGGTGCGCTTCTTGCGTTTGCGGCCCTGCGCGGCCAGCTTGTCGATGGAAGTGGCCGAGCCGGTGGTCGAGTCGGCCTCCTCCAGCCACTTTTGCAGCAGCGGCTTCAGCTTGCACATGTTCTTGAAGCTGAGCTGCAGCGCCTCGAAGCGGCAGATGGTCGTCTGGCTGAAGACGTTACCGTAGAGCGTGCCGAGCGCCAGGCCCACGTCCGCCTGCGTAAAGCCCAGCTTGATCCGGCGCTGCTTGAACTGCTTGGCGAACACCTCGAGGTCGTCCGACGAGGGCGGGTCCTCCTCGATCTCCTGGCTGTGCTCGCCCTGCGCGCCCATCAGCTCGTGCGGGTCCCGGCCGAGGTGCGGCAGCTGGTGCGGCATCATGCCGTTCATCACGTAGCCCGGGTGCTGCAGGTGGCCGCCGTTGGGAGTGCTGCCGATGTATGGCGACGAGACGGGCGGGTGCCAGCCGTGCGGCGCCATGTGCTGCGGCACCCGGCCGTGGTGCAGCATCTCGCTCGTCTGCGGCTTGATGTCCTGGTGCAGGCCCACGTGCGGGTGCATGGCCGTCGCCCAGTGGCCCGGGTCGGCCTGCGGCGCGAACGCCCACGGGTTGTGCGGCACCGGGCTCTGCTGCGGGTGCGGCATGTACTTCATGTCCGAGCCGTCCCGCATCACGTAACCCGGCGAGTTCAGCATCGTCTCGGCACCACTCACACTGGCGTCCGCGCCCACCGCACCTACGGCGCCGTATGCGGCGGACGCCATCACACCGCTCTGCGCCCGCTCGGAGCGGCTCATGCGTTATGCATTACTCCGGCCGGCCGGGCGCGCCGGCCTCCGCCGCGCGCTATGGCCGGGAGCCGCGCTCCTGATTGGCCCGTTCTGTGACGTCACTATTTACTCGGCGCCGATTGGCCGGCGGTCCGCGGCGGTTTTCGATCCCTGCCGCCACTGTATCGTCGGCGTTGTCGGCCAATTTTTTGACACTTTGCAAGCAGATTGCAGTGTGGCGGCGGGGTGGGAG